AGAATCACAGAAAAACCCCCAAACACACCCAGCTTCTCCCTGCCCTCATGCATCCCCACAAATCCCCCAGAGCCAGGGATGGGGGTCACTCACCTGCCATGGGAATAGGTCAGTTTGTTGTTCTCAGATGGGATTTTGGCCAGGATCTGCTCGGTGACCTCCAGGAAGTTGCCCCCGCACCAGGCGTGCTTGGCCAGGATGGTGGTGCCCCTCGCCACCACTGCAAACAGGATGGCCATGGCTGCTGTCCTGCTGGGGACAAACAGGGACATCAGCACTGGGGCACCTGCAGGGTGGCACAGGGACCTGCCCAGTGTCCCCTGGCACAGGGAGCAGGGCATGGGCAGGACCCAGCCATGACACCACAAAGTTCTCTCATTTCCCCTTTTAGCTCTTCTCCCAATGACACAAAACCCCCTAGAAAAAGGGTTTTATCACCTCTGTGCCCTGTGAGGGTGGCAAAGCTGAGGCTGTCCAGAGAAGCTGTGGAGCCAGCATCTCTGCCTGAAGAGAAACCAAGGCAGAAACCAGATCCTACCAGTTTGTGAGGATGAAAGCAAACTAAACCTTGGAAAAGTCACATTCAATGCTGCTCACAGCAGAGGGAAGGGCAAATCCCACAGCCAGAGCAGCTGGGGCTGCCCCTGCATCCCTGGAAGTGGCCAAGGCCAGGCTGGATCAGGCTTGGAGCCACCTGGGGTAGCAGAAGGTGCTGGGAGTTGGAACTGGATGAACTTCAAGCTTCATTCCAACCCAAACCATTGTGGGATTCCCTGAGTCTCCAGAGCTGGAAAAACATCCCTGCTGCCACTGAAAGGGACACTCTTAATCAGCTCAAGTATCAGCACATTAATCTAGGGCCAGAGCCAGATCTAACACATGGAGCACATGGCAGAGCCCAGCTGGCACAGCTGCCCTGCTCATCCTGCACATCCATAAGCCTCTTTTCTGCTCAGGAGGGACTTAGGACGACTTTGGACCCTGCAAAACCCAAAAATCTCATTTTTCACTTTGTACTTAGGCCCTGCTTATGACCTGCTCTGTTCTGTGCACGATCACAGAGCTCTCCTGAAGGCCCAGGAGAGCTCTCTGGGAACAGCCACAGAGCAGCAGGGCTGCCTGAGCTTCTGGAGCCAGATTCTCCATCCCCCTGGCACTGCCTGGTGAGAATTAGGGATCTCTTCTGGATTAACAAGGCCATGAAGGGAGATCCAACCCAGCAGGGCTCACCTGGACAGGCTGAGCCCACAGATCCAGGCTTGGCCAGCACCAACCAGAGCTTCTCCCACAGTCTGAACCCAGCACTGGAGGGAAAAAGGATAAAATCATGGATTTACTCACAGGCCAAACTCCACACAACCACCTGGGAGCGCTGCCAAGGGGAACAGAACCAGAACCATGGAATGGCTGGGGCTGGAAGGGCCTTCAAGATCATCCCCATGGCAGGGACACCTCCCACTGTCCCAGGCTGCTCCAGGCTTCATCCAGCCTGGCCTTGGGCACTGCCAGGATGGAGGGGCAGCCACAGCTGCTCTGGCTGTGGGATTTGCCCTTCCCTCTGCTGTGAGCAGCATTTCACGTGATTTATCCAAGGTTTAGTTTTCTTTCGTCCTCATAAACTGGTAGGGTCAGGTTTCTGCCTTGGCTGCTCTTCAGGCAGAGTTGCTGGCTCCTGCAGGAAGCTTCCAAGCAATTGCTTACTCCTTTATGTTTCAGCTCTGAGTGATCTCCACTTTGGCTCATTTTCAGGTCAAAATGCTCCTGTCTTAAATAAGATTGTGAGGTAACTCAGCTCAGGGAGCTCACTGCAGCCTCCTGTCCCTGCAGAGCCACTGGACACAGAGGCTTTGGCCAGCCCAAGGTGGAGCAACACCAGGGCACAGGCTGGAATCACAAACACCTCTTGAGCAATCAGCTGAGTGTCCGGCACCAGGAAACCACTGCCTGCTCCTGCAGCCACCCAGGAGCCACAGGAAGGAGCAGCTGTGGCACAAAACACACCCCAAACCCTGCAAGGACACTGAGACTGAGGGTACAGAGCCCACACAGACCCCTCAGTGCCCTGAGCAGAATAAATGCAGCCCCAGCTGAGGATTGGGAAGTGTTTAGACAATTCCTGCAAATCCCTGCTCTTTTAACAGTGGATATTGGTGGAACCTGAGGTGACACCTCAGCAGCAGCAGCGGTGAGGTGGCACTCAGTGGCACTGTAGGATCCCACAGTTCTCAATTCCCTGGGTTCCTGGCTCTCCCTCCCTGGGTTCACAGCCCTGACTCCCCAAATTCCTGGCCCCCATCATGCTCAGGGCACAGGAGCTCTGTGCCTGGCAGGAACACCAGCGCAGCTCTGAGCAGAAGGGGTTACATGAAGTAGAAGAGATTAACCAGGAGCATTTCCCTCCCTGAGCAGCCCGTACCAGCCGTGTGTTACTGCTGTTAGTGACACAAATCTGTTAAACTGCCACAGAAGGTCCTTCCTCAGCAGTTACAGCAGTCAGGAATGAAATCCCTTCCAATCAACCCCTCTGCAGAGCTTTTTCCTGTCTAAACTTACAACATTACACAGCTGGAAGCAGCCAAGACCAAACCTTCCAAAAAGACCCTGAAAGATGCACAAGCTGCTGCCTCAGGGGACTGAACTGAGGGATCCTAGAAACCCAGAATGGATTGGGTTGGAAGGGACCTCAAAGCCCACCCAGTGCCACCCCTGCCATGGCAGGGACACATCCCACTGTCCCAGGCTGCTCCAGCACCAATGTCCAGCCTGGCCTTGGGCACTGCCAGGGATCCAGGGGCAGCCACAGCTGCTCTGGGCACCTGTGCCAGGGGCTGCCCACCCTCACAGGGAACAATTCCTCCCCAATACAAGGGCACAGAAAAAAGGCACAGAAAACCCTCTTAAGGAACATCAGAAACACAGGCTCAGTCCCAGCATGATGTTTAGAACTTCTGTAAGGATGATTTACTATTTTCTAGTAAATTTTCTCTTCTGGCCTAGAAGATTCCCAGCTTAGTGCCAGTGAGCCATGGGAGGTCCCTGCCTGCACTTGCAGAAATCCTCTTACCAGAAAGCAAAGGGCACCACGCCATTCAAGCACAGAACAAGGGAACAAGGGGAGGTGTTGCAACCCAGCCAGTTGCAAACTGCTGCAATAAAGAGATCGTTTGAGCAGGGTGAGCTCAGCAGAAAGCAGCCCCAGCTTCCCTTTAACCTCTGCTGGGCAGCTGGAAAAATCATTATTTCATTACAGAATATTGCTCCGTGAAGTCCTGCGGCTCTCCTGCTCATTTTGAAACCGAGAATTGCAACATTTGTGCTCCAACTTATCCCAAGTTCAGCCTCCCTTCTGCACACAGAATTTACTTCAGGTGCCCCCAGTGCATCACTATGGAACAAATCACCAAGGAAATCAATCCCCGTGCTCTTCCAGCCCCATCACCTTTCCTGGAGGCAGCACTGCAGGGGTTGGAGTGGGGTAAGGACACACAATACCACAGTGGTTGAGTAAGCAGCTCTCTAAAAGGGGAACACATGCAGCCCAAAGCATGGAATTACGGAATTGTTTAGGTTGGAAAAGCCCTGCAAGAGCACCAAGTCCAACCATCCCCCAGCACTGCCAAAGCCACACAACCCGTGTCCCCAAGTGCCACATCCATATGGCTTTGAAATCCCTCCAGAGATGGGCACTCCACCACTGCCCTGGGCAGCTGTGCCAGGCTGGACAGCCCTGTCCATGAGGAATTTCCCCTAATATCCAACCTGACCCTCCCTGGCACAGCCACATCCTGTCATGCTGTGGCTGTTCCATAGGAGCAGGGCCTGACTCCCTCCAGCTCCCTGCACCCCCCGCCAGCACACCTGTGGTTAATTAATTAATTAACTAATTAACCCATGCAGTGCTACATCTGCAACGCCGTCCACCCCCAGACACACCAGTAACACAACAGTAACACCACAATAACATACCAGTAATACACGGGTAACACCCCAGTAACAAGCGAGTAACACACTAATAATACCCCAGTAACAGGCCAGCAACACACCAATAACATCCCAACAACGTACTGGTAACAGCCCCGGTAACAGGCTGGTAACATGGCAATAACACCCCAGTAACACAGAGATATAAGAGCCCTGTAATACCCCAGTAACAGAGAGATATAACACCCCCGGTAACAGGCCACTAGTACACAAATAACACATCAGTAGCATTAATAATATCCCAATAACACGGCAATAACCCACTGGTAACATCCCAGTAACAAGGCAATAACCCACCAGTAACAAGGCAATAACCCACCAGTAACATCCCAGTAACGCAGCAATAACCCACCAGTAACACAGCGATGTAACACCCCAATAACATGCCAGCGACACCCCCGGTAACAGGCCAGTAATACACCACTAACACCCCAGTAACACACCAAAAACAACCCAGTAACGTGCCGGTAACGCCCCCGCTAAGAGGCCTATACCACACCAATAATACTCCAGTAACACACCAATAACTCCCCAGTAACGTGCCGGTAACGCTCCCGGTAACAGGCCAGTACCACACCAATAACATGCCAGTAACACATCAGTAACACCCCAGTACCACACCAACAGCACACCAGTACCAGGCCCGCCGCTGTCCCGTGACACACCAGTCACACCCCGGTATTCCCCGGTCACCCGCCGTACCCCCCGTGCCCGTGCCCGTGCCCCGCTCCCGGTGCCGAGCGCGGCCTCCTCCCGCCGGCAGCGCCTGAGGCCCGCGGGGCCGGGGCTGTGCTCGGCCGGAACCCCCGCACCCGAACCCCCGGCCCGGCCCGGCCCGGCCCGGCCCGGCCCAGCACGGCACGGCACGGCACGGCACGGCACGGCACGGCCCGACCCGGCCCAGCTGGGGCTCCAGGCCGCCCCGGCCCCCTGCGCTCACCGGCGCTCCCGGGCCCCGCCGGCCCCGCTCGGCCCCGCCCGGCCCGGCCCGGCCCCGACGCGTTTCCGGCCGCGGGGCCGCCGGGAGCCCGGAACCGCCATGGCCGGCAGCGGCAGCGGGCCCGCGCTGGAAACCGTGAGGGGGCACCGGGAGCCGGGCTGGGATCGGGACCGGGGTCGGGATCGGGGGGCTCCGCTTGGTCCCTTCCCTGAGGTGGAGCGGGGGCCGGGCCATGCTCCCGAGGAAAAGCAGCCTCACGTTGTGCCAGGGAGGGTCAGGATGGATATTAGGGAAATTCCTCGTGGACAGGGCTGTCCAGCCTGGCACAGCTGCCCAGAGCAGTGGTGGAGTGCCCGTCCCTGGAGGGATTAAAAGCCGTGTGGATGTGGCACTTGGGGACACGGGTTGTGTGGCCTTGGCAGTGCTGGGGGATGGCTGGACATGGTGCTCTTGCAGGGCTTTTCCAGCCCAAATGATTCCCTGATTCCATGGTTCTGTCATTCACAAGCCTGGCTTAGTGGTAGGGCACCCTCTCATATGGTGGGGTGCCATCAGCATTAGGACAAATCATGTCAGGGTAGCTCCAAGGGACACCCTGTCATCCCGTGGTGAACAGCAGCAGCTGGAGGGCTGGACTAACCTGGTTTAAAGCCAGGTGGGATTTTGGAGCTTTCCCTCCCCTCTGAAGGTGTTTTGGCCCCGCAGCAGCACCAGAGGTGGCCCAGGGAGACCTGCAGCCCTCCCAGCTACTCTGGGAAGCTGAGCACGGAGCTGACCCTCACCCTTCAGGTGTCCCCGGCCTCGGGGAGGTGACAGCTCCTCTCCTCTCCCTCTGGTGACAGATCCAGGCGGATGGGACGGACGGGAACTGCGTCACGTTTGTGCTGCACGACGAGGATCACACCCTGGGCAACTCCCTGCGCTACATGGTCATGAAGAAGTGAGTGGGGCCTCTGAGGGACCCCCATGCCCTGCCCTGGCATTCTCCTCCCTGACCCACACCTCAGCTGTCCCTGGGATCAGACAAACTATCCCAAATCCCTTCTGGGCACACCCTCCAGCCTTTCTGTCAGCCATGGAGCCCTGCTCCCACCTGCTGCTCCTCCTTTTCCTTGGGCTGTGTCAGGACTCTGAGAGCACCAACAGCCCTTAAAGGGCCTGACCAGCCTCTCCTGAGCCTGCCCCCACACCCTCCCTGCCCAGGAACACAAGTTAAGCCCAGCCCAGGGCTTTCATCCCTCCTGAACAGCTGGAGCAGTAACTCGGTCCTGGGCTCTGTGTGCTGCCCAGAGAGCCTGTGGATTTCCCATCCCTGGAACTGTCCCAGGCCAGGTTGGATGGGGCTTGGAGCACCCTGGGGCAGTGGAAGGTGTCCCTGCCCATGGCAGGGGCTGGGACTGGGTGGCCTTTAAGGTCCCTTTGATAAATCCCTGTGACAACACAAAAGAAGCTGCTGGCCAAAGCTGGGGGCAAAGCTCCAGCACTCAGCTCAGCTGGAGGGAGAGGCCCTGCAACATTTTGGGAGCTCCTCCAGTGCCCTGGACCACTCAGACTGGCAGCAGCAGAGCAGCAGCAGATTTGGTTACAGAGAGAATTGCAAGCATCCAGGATCCCATGTTTGGATCTGCAGAGCTGGCACTGCTCTGGCTGTGGTGCCAGCCCTGTCTTTGCCCTGCAGAGCTCCAGCTCAGCTCAGAGAGAGATGGGTGTGAGGGAACAAGATCACATATGGAGTTTCCCCTCAGCACATTCCTCCCCTGGAAACATCCAGAGCCCCAGCGGGCCTGGCATGCCCTAAGCCTCTGACTTCCCTGGGATTTGCTGTGGACTGGCCTGGGTCTCACTGCTCCCTGTCCTCTCTGCCCTCCTGCAGCCCTGACGTGGAGTTCTGTGGCTACTGCATCACACACCCCTCAGAAAGCAAGATCAACTTCAGGATCCAGACCAGAGGTGAGCCTGGAGCTGTCCTTCTATTGCTGGGGCCCTGTTCTCATGGAATTCCCCCTGCTCATGCCAGCTTCCCAGGAGTCTGTTAAATAAAGAAAAGCCCTTTCTCCCTGCCCTCTGCCAGGCACTGCAGTGCTGAGCCTCAGAGGCTGCTCCCAGAATTCTGCTCCAGCTGCAGAGGGAAGCAGCATTCCTGGCTCCAGGCACCTCGTCTAGCTGGGAGCAGCCCTGGCACCCCAAGCTGTGGGGCTGGGCAGGGGGCACACCCCTGGGGAGGTAAGGACTACCCTTGGGAAGCCACCTCCCATGTCCCTAATCCATTTTTTCCCATCTTTTCCCATCTTTTCCCAAAGGGGCCCTTCCTGCTGTGGAGCCATTCCGGAAAGGGCTGAATGACCTGATGGGCGTTTGCCAACATGTGCTCAACACCTTTGAGGTGAGACATTCCTGGGGAGCTCAGGGTTAGTTCCATCCCTTGGGCCATTCCTGGGGAGCTCAGGGCCAGTTCTGTCCCTTGGGCCATTCCTGGGGAGCTCAGGGTCAGTTCTGTCCCTTGGGCCATTCCTGGGGAGCTCAGGGTCAGTTCTCTCCCCTGGGCCATTCCTGGGGAGCTCAGGGCCAGTTCTGTCCCTTGGGCCATTCCTGGGGAGCTCAGGGCCAGTTCTGTCCCTTGGGCCATTCCTGGGGAGCTCAGGGTCAGTTCTGTCCCTTGGGCCATTCCTGGGGAGCTCAGGGTCAGTTCTCTCCCCTGGGCCATTCCTGGGGAGCTCAGGGCCAGTTCTGTCCCTTGGGCCATTCCTGGGGAGCTCAGGGCCAGTTCTGTCCCTTGGGCCATTCCTGGGGAGCTCAGGGTCAGTTCTCTCCCCTGGGCCATTCCAGGTCATTTCCATCCCTTGGGCCATTCCTGGGGAGCTCAGGGTCAGTTCTGTCCCTTGGGCCATTCCTGGGGAGCTCAGGGTCAGTTCTGTCCCTTGGGCCATTCCAGGTCACTTCTGTCCCTTGATCCCAGCGTGGGAGGCTGACTCCTGTGTTGGAGACACCTTTGGCAGGAGAACCTGGGAGGTTTTTTTGGCCAGGCTCTGCCTGATCCATGGCATGGCCTGGCTCCCTGTCCCTTGAGTGACTGTAAAGCTCAGTCACTTCCAAAAGCACCTGGAGCTCTGTCAGAGCTTCCCAGCCTTTCCAGGCTCTGATCAGAGTAATGCCAGCACAGCAGGGTGGTGGCTCTGTGCCACCCCAGGGACACGTTGGTGACATTTGTGCTTTGCTTCTGTTTCAGAGGAGCATGAAGGAGTTCAGGGCACAGAAGGAGGAGGAGATGCAGTAGCCTTTGGGAATGGCATGGATGTAATCTCTGTTGAATTCCCTCTGTCCAAACGAGGTTTTTTTTGTTGTTGTTGTTTTTATTACTTTGCTGCAAAATGTATTTTCTTTAATAATAAAGTTTATTCATTTAGATGCTGCAGAGCTCATGATGTGTTCTGCTCAGCACAGGGATGGAAAGTCATAAAACGTGGAGACAGACTGCTCCACAGATTGGGAAATTTGGGAAAATTTTCCAAATTTGGGAAAGTTTCCCAGACATTGGGAAATTTGGGAAAATTTCTGCTCCATTTCAGCCCATTGGGAAAATGGGCTGGTCTTGATATTCCTCAGTCTCTGTTTTCCTTGAAACCCATTTGTCTTTTATGATTTATTTGTAAAACATTTACATTTCAGTGAAAGTTAAGCTAAAAGCCCACCCCAACACCTGGAGAATGTTTTAATTGCAGGTCTCGTCTCTTCTCCCCTTTTCCTCTCTCCATTTTTTTCTATGACAAGGTAGAAGGGGGAAAGAAGGAAAAGAGAGAGAGGGAAAAGAGAGATATGGGAAAACCAGCAAAGAATCATCAAAAACCTCATACATACAACTTTTTGATGTAGTTTTTCTGGAAGTTTTGGCAAGAACTTTGGAATGGGATCACATGGATTCTCAGTCACATGGAATCACATGGATTGCAGTCACAGACTGGTTTGTGTTGGGAGGGACCTCCACTCCCTCTCCTCCCACCCCTGCCATGGGCAGGGACTCCTTCCCCTATCCCAGGGTGCTCCAAGCCCTGTCCAACCTGGCCTTGAGAATCGCTGGCAGATCACCTGGGGGATGAATTATTGCCAATAATCAATTCGAGAGAGCCCTTTCCCGTATTGTACTTTGCTCTAGTGGCTCTTCCAGCTGAGACTGGACCTTCTCCACTGCCTTTCCCACCTCCACATGACCACAAGGACATGTCTGTGCCTCACAGGGATTTATCCAGGCTTTGCTTGGCTTTTACAGCTGGGAATTGTCACTCCCTCTCCTCCTCACCCCACAGAGTGACCACCCCACCATTCCTTCTCTTCCCACACACATCCCCCAACCCCACGTTCCACCCCAAGGCAATGGCCAGAAGTCCCTTGGTTTTCCTGGGAGGAAATGAAAAATCCTGTGAGGATGTGAATGCCCTTCCCTCTCCTGCAGAGGGGACCTCTGTGGTCAGGGCTTGGAGCAGGTCCTGGGGAGCGCTCCAGCTCCTTCCAGCTGGGTGAGGACACGACGGCAAAGTAGATCCAGGCCCAGCGAGGGAGAGCCCGGGGGAGGATCGGAGGGGTCCCGCTGTCCCTGTGCCTTGTCCTGGACAGTGACACGGCTTTAGGAGGAGCTGTACTTGTTGCTCAGGCGGGAGCTGCTCCTGTCCAGCCCCAGCTCCTGCCCCGTGGCTTTCCACTTGCCAACTGAGCCCTTCTCATCCGTGGGGGTGATGCTCAGGGCCGGCCTCTGGCACCAGCAGCACAGGCAGGACTGGGGAGACACAAGGGGGAGAGGTCACACGTGTGGGATATGGGGTAAGAGGAGGGAATATTCCCATAATGTGCCAGCAGGTGTCCCTGCACAGAGCCAGGCTGGGAACTGCTGAGCCTTGCTGTCCTGCAGCTCTGCTGGGAGTGGGTTTTCCAGGATGGTGGTGAGAGTGGGAAATAAGGATACTGAAATTTGGGGCATTTTTTGTAATTATGTGTTCTTATCATTAGGGGACAGAAATTACAGGTGATGCTTAGCTCCCATCCCAACAGGTGGGCTCAACTCCCATCCCATCCCATCCCATCCCATCCCATCCCATCCCATCCCAATCTCCTTTCCTTTCTTTCTCAGGGCTTCACTATTCCTGACAATTATCTCCCAAAATCTTGGGTTCAAAGTCTGCAGCAGCCCCAGCCCCTGGTCTGATGGTTTGTGGGGATGTTCCTGTCCCAGAGTGACAGGGAATTTTTGGGATTGTCCTAAATCCTGCTCTGGCAAAAGCCTCCCCCAGCAGGACACTGAGCTCTGGTGTACTTGGAGAAGAGAGGGATCTAACAGGGAAAATTTGGGATGAGGAATAAGATCAGCTTGTGCCCCTGGGTCATTCCTACCTGGAAGCAGTTCTTGAATTTGCGGCTGACAAAGTACAGAGCCACGGGGTTGATGCAGGAGTTGAGGGAGGCCATGTTGATCCCAAAATAATCCATCACCAGGAGGAAGCTGGGATGGGAAGGGAGAGAACACATAGGTCAGAAGCTCATGGAGAACAGAGGGAATTTCCAAACTGCCTGTCCAGGATCCTGCTTCTGTGGAGGAGCAGTGACTGATAGCAGAGCTGAGCACATATCCATCCTTCCCTGAGAAAAAACACTTTTCCTTGCATGGAGCATTCCCTGAGGAAGCCAAGAGCAGGAGCTGTGATTTCTCCTGGTGCTCCTGATGTTCCCAAACCCCAGCACAGCTGCAGCCCCTGGCCTGGGCTGGGTTTTGGCTGATGGGTGGAAGGGGAGGGAGACAGGCACCAAAGCCCTCAGCCCTGCTGGGAATGTTCCTGTGCCCAGGAGACCTCAGCCTCACAGAGACATTCCAAAATTTAATTTAACCCTTCTCACATCCCCCTGCCCCCTCTGTGCCCATCAGTCTGGGCAAGGAATTACTGAAAGCAGGAGGTGGAAGACAACTCCTCCAGCCTGGTCCCACCCAGCAGGGCCTGTGCTTGTGCCAGGGGGATCCCAGGCCGGTGTCCCCTGCAGGGGCCCTACTGCTGGGATCTCTTGCTGCTCAGAGTGACCCTGAGAAGAGTTAGAAAAGACTTGTACATGAAGAAGGAGTCAGGGATCTTCATTTCTCGCTCTCAAGGTTGTTTATTGCCTCTTATCTATAAAATTATTCCTCCTGCCCTGCTGAGGTCCATCCAGCAGGACAGTTCCAGGCACTCTGCCTGCCCCCAGGGCAGTGTTATGTCTTTATACTAAAAACCACGTGTACAATGTTTACAGTTACTTTCCAATACCTATCACCTATGTTAGACAGTGAGCTTCTGCTCTAAACCAATCTGTGAGTGCCAACATCACAGCAGAAGATGGAGGCCAAGAAGAAGAAGAAGGAGAAAGGCTGGACACACAGATCCCTCCATCTTGCCTCCTGAACCCCCATACCAAAAACCCCAAAATCTACTTTTCCACCCTGTGATAACTTCACTAATATTCTACCTAAACTGTTGTGGCTTGCTGATCTTCATCTAAGGTTGGTAATTTGGGTCATAATCAAACCCACAGGTGTTCTGGGCTCTGTGCCAGGGTCTCTGAGCCCCCTGGCAGGGGTCCTGGCCATCCTGGCCAGCAGAGGGATGTCCTGGGATCCCACACCATACCTGAGCAGCTCGCAGCGGTTGGGGTCCGTCTGGTCGTAGATGGTTTTCTTGAGGATGCGGCTGAGGTGCAGGGGCAGCCAGCAGAGAGCAAAGATCACCACCAGGCAGAACACGGTCTTGGCCACCTCCCGGCGCTGCCAGACAGGGCAGGGGCAGGATGAGCACGGGGGAGCAGATCCCAAATTGTGGAATGGTTTGGATCGGGAGGAACCTTACAGCTCGTCTCACCATGGGCAGGAACATTTCCCACCAGCCCAGGTTGCTCCTGGAGCCCTGCACCAGCTCCAGGCTGCAGAAAGGGGCAGGGCAGCACAGCTCCACCTGGACAGACCCCTCCCCACCACTGCTGGGTGGCTCTGCTGGGATGGTGTTCCCTGGGACATGGAGCCGCCTCCATCCACCCAGCACACTGCTAAGGTGACAACCAGCTGGAACTCCTCAGGGAATCATTCCCAAAGCGTGGGAGGGACAGTGAACTCTTCCCTGCACCCCTTGGCTGGGGTTTGGCACATCCAGTCTTTGGTCCAGTGTGGTGTGGGCTGGGATAAATGACCAGGAGAGCTCCAATGAAGCCAGAAGGGTTTGGGGTCATCCTTAAGGCTGGTGTATCCCTGCACCAACGTGCCAAGATCCTCTGTGAGGCTTTGCCAGCTCATCCTGTCCTTCAGAGGGGTGGGAAGTGTCCCCCCTCTGAGAGCACTCCCTCTCTTTGGGGTGCCAGCATTCCTCCCTGCTCTCTCACCCGTTTCATGTGGTCATTCAGAGCGATCCTCATCCCGTTCCTCTTGCTCAGCATCTCACAGGACATGAGGGTGTAGAAGATGCCCGTGCACACCAAGGGCAGGCAGAAATAGAAGCCAAAAAGCCACCAGTCCTTCACATCCCGGTAGAACTGTGGGGAAAGGGAGAGAGGGCAGCTGGAAATGGGGCCAGGGCAGCAGAGGGGACTTGGGAGGTGCACATGTACCCTCCTGGAGCGGGATTGGGATTGGGATTGGGATTGGGGTTGGGATTGGGATTAGGGTAGGGATTGGAGTTGGGATGGGGATGCACAGGTACTCTCTTGAAGCAGGATTGGGATTGGGGTTGTGTCACAGACATCATTTATGAAAAATCTTTTCCTTGGGATTTTTCCTCCTGAGAAGCTGGGAGGCCCCAGGAACAAAATGTAAACAATGGTTATCTGCTGCTGTGGAATGCAACAGGTGCATCTGTGATTGGTCTCATGTGGTTGTTTCTAATTTATGGCCAATCACAGTCAGCTGGCTTGGACAGAGAGCCGAGCCACAAACCTTTGTTATCATTCTTTATTATTCTATTCTTAGCTGGCCTTCTGATGAAATCCTTTCTTCTATTCTTTTAGTATAGTTTTAATATAATATATCTTATAAAATTATAAATCAGCCTTCTGAAACATGGAGTCAGATCCTCATCTCTTCCCTCATCCTCAGACCCCTGTGAACACCGTCACAGGGTTGGGATTGGGATTGGGATTGGGATTGGGGTTGGGATAGGGATGCACAGGTACCCTCATGAAGCAGGATTTGGATTGGGATTGGGACTGGGTTTGGGATTGGGATTGGGGTTGGGGTTGGGGTTGGGGTTGGGGTGGGGATGCAGAGGTACCCTCATGAAGCGGGATTGGGGTTGGGATTTGGATTGGGATTGGGATGCACAGGTACCCTCATGAAGCGGGATTTCTGCTCCGAGGCCAGCATGCACACCCACAGGTGCTGCTCCCAGTAGCTCAGCTCCACCATGTCGAAGGCAATGGCCTCGGGCACGGCCAGCACGATGGCCACTGCCCAGATCAGCAGGACC